AGATAGATAAATAGATAGATAGATAGGTAGACAGATAGATAGATAGATAAACAGATATATAGATAAGTAGATAGATTGATACATAGGTAAGTAGATAGATAGATAGGTAGGTAGATAGACAGATACCCAAATAGATACACAGATAGATAGGTCGATAGAAAATTAGATAGATATTTGAATAAAGAGATGGATAAACAAATAGATAGATGAGTAGATAGATAAATAGGTATATAGACGGACAGATAGATAGGTCGATAGAAAATTAGATAGATAGGAATTTAGAGAGAAAGGTAGATTATCGCATCCTATTCCTTGTATCTATTAAATCCGAGTAAAATATATATATATATATATATATATATATATATATATATATATATATATATATATATATATATATATATATATATATATATGTATGTATATATATCATTTAAGTTCAACTGATTCATAAATTAGATCTTAGACTTTTGGTTGAAAGAATGAATACATAAATGGATAGGAATAGTATTAATAGAGAGAGAGAGAGAGAGCGCAGGAAAAAGACAGATATGAAAAGAAAAGGCAGAGAGAGAAAAAAAAAAAAGAAAGTAAGAAAGAAAGAGAGCGACAAAGACAAAACAAAAAAAATCCCTTGCTATATTAACCCCCACCTCCACCCCCGCCCCCCCCCACCCCCCAGCCATGCCATGCAGCAACCCGGAGGACGTCGTGGCAACCTTCGCCGAATACAAGTTCAACATTGCAGAAGATACTTGTCACAGCCGATTTACGGAGTGTTGCAACACCTTCACCCGTGCTATATGGTAAGTGTTGTAGGTGTTTTCAAAAGAAAAATGAATATATGAATAAAGAAAAAGAAAAGATTGATGCTAATGGAAGTGCATGAAAGCATCGGGTAAATAAAGTCATGGTGTTTGTGTACGTGTAGGTAGGCAACGAATAGATAGATAAAGTAATAGTGATTATATGATTGTATTCATTTGCATATCAGTAAAGGAATGAAAAGATGATATCAGAGAGCGATCTTGACAAATCGCGCTTAGTCAGAAGATGCATAAGCACACTTATTCATACTCATGTACTAGCACATATACACCTACACATATATAATGTACGGGCAGATACGTATATACAGCATATATATGTTTCTCTCTCTCTCTCTCTCACTCTCTCTCTCTGTCCTCCTCCCTCTCTCCTTCCCTCTCCCCCTCCCTCTCCCTCTCCCTCTTCCTCTGCCTCTCCTCCTCCATCTCCCCCCTCTCCTCCTCCCTCTCCCTCTCCTTCTCCCTCTCACACTCTCACACTCGCTCACTTTCACTCTTACTCTATTTGGCTGTCTGATCATCTCACACACACACACACACACACACACACACACACACACACACACACACACACACACACACACACACACACACACACACACACACACATCATAAAAATGCTGATACTAACTGATGATGATAATAAAGAGGATTAATGAGAAGAAAAAACAATACTTACATTCTTAAAGAAAACGAAAGTGAAAACTTTTCACTTCCTCCCCCCCCCCCCCCGAAAAAAAACAGGGAGATGAACCAGGAGAGAAAAACGGCACGAAAGCAGCGCCGGAAGCAGAACAGGAAAGCACGCAGGCAAATGTCCCGAAGACAGAAACAGGAAGAGACCGAAAGTGCCTGAGAGGAGGGACGAAAAGTGTCAAGAAGAAGAGACCGGAAGTTCTTGAGATTAGAGACCGGAAGTGTCAAAAGGGAATCAGATGACGTGCCAGAGAAGAGACCGGAAATACATTATAAAAGACACCGGTAGTCCTTCCACTTGACACAGTTACTTCATTTCTATAATATATATATATATATATATATATATATATATATATATATATATATATATATATATATATGTATGTATGTATAATTTTCAATGTGTTGTAAAACAATTTGTAAAGTGAAATTATTAAAAAAAGGTACGATTAACTTATTCATTATAAAATTTGTCATGTACGAGAAATTAAGATTCATCAATCACATTCAAATTAATGTAAGTAAAATTATAGTACAAGTGATAAAAAAATGAGGAAACGAAGTCAATTATTATCCTTATGAATTATACGCTAGAGAATAAGGAGCTTCCTTATCCAAAACATATGCTCTACGACGGGCTAATGAATATGCTAACTCTACTTCTTCTCCTTCTTGTTCTTCTATTTTTTTCCATTTTCCTTTTTCTCTTTGATTTTTTATTCCACAACGAAGAACCGAGTCCTCAACAAGGGCAGTATTTAGATATATGAAACGGCAGTGCAAACAAGGATAACTATAATGCGCAAATATGTATATATATGTGTGTGTGTGTGTGTGTGTGTGAAGAGTTTAATTAATTAATGATCAAAGCTACTTTTTAACAGTATGCGAGTATATAAAGGCAACATGAAGTGAGTGTCATAAAAGCACAAATCATCAAGAACTAATGTGAAATATTAAAAATACACAAAAAAGAAAAAAAAAATGGGAAAAGAAAAATGACTTTTCTCTGTTTTTTCTTTCTTTGTCATAAAGACTGCAAGATATAAATAAATAAATAAATATTTAAAAGGGTTTATAAATATAAACTAAATTATAAAATCAGGATCAATCTAAGCTAAATGTGAAAGTTTTTTGCCCCAAAACATCAAAAAAATTATTTCTGTCCAACTGAACTAAAAGGAAAGACCGAGATCAACAAACTGTGAGAGGACTAGTTAGGCATCGACAGCTAAGGAAAAATAGAAAAAGAAAAGAAAAGAAAAAAAAGAAAAAAAAGAAAAAATATATATATATGTGTGTGTGTGTGTGTGTGTGTGTGTGTGTATATATATATATATATATATATATATATATATATATATATATATATATATATATATATATATATATATATATATATTTATACATATCAAAAGTTGAATTAAATGAAATAATAAAATTAGAATGAAAAAATATAATAAGTTAAATAAGTTCATTTACCACCCTGGCTCAGGCGTGGGCAATCATGATTACAGTTTTACATGTATCTGACACAGTGCAGTAGTCTGTGACAACTGTAATTGTACATGGTAATATAGAAATATAAATCATACATCATACAAAAATATTACGTTGATGTGCTTTTGCCACTGTGTTTACATAACACTGTAATTTTTTTTTTTTTTTTTTTTTTTACGGCAGTTTTACATAGTAAATTTAGGATATAGTACGAGTATATCTCCCAATGTATCAGATGAAATGAAATATTCCCACAGTTCTTCATACCTCATGTTAGGTGGTCTGAAAGTCTGTATCACATGACACTTCGAGATATAATGCTCAAGCGTTCGTTTGTTTTCTTCGTTACACAGTCTACATTTAGATTCATCTGCACTTCTTGCACCGTGCAGTTGCCAATACATTCTGTAACCTAAACGTATTCTGGCAATAACCACGTCACACTGTCTCGTTTGACTTCGGTGCCACCCATAGGAGGGCTTGCTATCTCTATACTGATCGTAGTGCCTTATGGTACAGCTTTCAGGCCTTTGAGTGTTCGTCAGATCTACTAGTTCTTCCTTATGAGAACGTTTCAATATATGCGCAACCCTAGCATGAGGCATCCCAAGATCTATGTTCACAGTATCTTTGTTGCAGGCTTCCTTCGCCAATTTGTCTACGTGGTCGTACTTGCTTATACCAACATGAGATGATATCCATACAAACTGAATTTTGAAATTGTGCTCTATTTCACAAGTTACGTTACGCTTAATGCAACTCACAATTTCCTCATCGCCACCTGCTTTGAAAGAATTTAGTGTTCGAAGAGCACCCTGAGAGTCACAGATGACTACTCCAGAGCCCCGAGACATTAAGAACCCCGTTGCAAGGAGTATACCTACCAGCTCCGTATGTGTAGTGCTGGCACAATTTTGCACTCTCATATTAACTTGATGTTGCAGTAAGCCATTTTTGTATACAGTACAAGCACAACCAGCTTAGTATCCAGACAGTACAGATTCGTCAATGTAACACTCGTATACATCATCGCCCATACGTCTGCTTGCGTGATTTTATGTTGCAGTTGCAGTCGAAAAAGATACAAGGGTTCCCTCAAAGCTTTGACTCCAAATATCGTAGAAATAAATATTATACTATCAGAGATGGTTGGTAGGTTGAGTTCTGACCTCATGTTCACTACCCTTGCTGTTCTCGGGGCGCCGAAGATAATGCTCATGGCTTCATTTTGCTCTACCTCCAAGCTATTCATTTCTGATTCCTTACACTGCAACAAGTGCACTGCATAGTAGTCTACAACTGATCTCATAAAAGCCAAGTAAAATAGTCTAGCGAGCTTAACATTGATGCTATGTAGGGGTATGATACATGGATTGAGAACCATCGTTTTCTCAGCGGAGATAACTAATCCACACACATGAGCCCTTGCTGTGAGATTGTCGAGAATTATTTGCATCCTCTCTTGTGATGATGCTTTGACGCATATGTCATCAGCATAGCATATAATGGATTCACCATCCCCAAGTGGAATATCTGCCACCAGCTTGTGCATGAGGACATTGAAACAACATAGGGCTGAGAACTCCTCTCTGTGGCATCCCAAGTTCAAAAGATTGTGAAGTGGAACTTCTCACTCCCCTGAACAAGACACTTACAAATCATTTTGAAAGATACATTCCAATCCAGCTCAATAATTTACTCCGGATGCCAAAACTTACTAATTGTTCTAGGACAACTTCTCTGTTTGCAATATCAAAAGCTTAAGAAAAACAGTGTGCTTCACTGGATTAGAGTTTGAATAGTACTCTGCAAAGCAATGCTATGTGCTACATCCCGATAGAAATCCGTACAGTCTGTGAGATAATTTGCAACCTGTACCTGAGTCTGTTCGAAATTATCCTTCCTAAATCTTTGCATACACGCGAGGTTAGTGAAATTGGGCGGTATTTATTAGTGTTTGGTTTCGGTATAGGGATGATTAGACTGCGCGTCCAGGGGCCAGGCAGAATAACTTGTGACAAACTTAACTTGCCTAGGTACAAAAGGGGATTACCAGGTACCTAAACTATAAGGTGGAGAGCACTATAGGTAATTCCATCCTCACCTAGTGCGGACGCTTTTTTTCTTTGATCAGTGCATTGTTCAGTTCCCACTCAGTTATCTCAGCAAAGTCTGAAGGGTCAGTCTCAGAACATCCAGTCTCAATGGCAAATTTACGTGCAATTTTAGACTGACTAAGGTGGTTCTGAATATTTGTGGGAAGTGAGCTCAATTTGGACATTCCAGCCCATTGACTAAGCAGCATGTCTGCTTGTGCAAGAGGACTATGGAACTGCGGGGTGTTAGTTGGTTTGCCTGAGAGTCGATTTTTTTTTTCCAGACCTCAGACATTGAGGTGTTATTGTTAATGCTTTGTAGCAAAATACTGCAGGAAAGAAACAACCTGTGCTGTTTGTGCAGAAGCTCACCGGACAAATGACTGCCCTGCAAGAAACAACGAGAAGGACAATGACAACGGAAACACCGTCACCATCGTAAAGACGTGCGTCAGGTGGGGAGCGCAAGGTGTGGCGGCCTGGCACCATAACTGCCCCCACAGCGTAACTGCCCAGCCCAGCAACAACCCACCCAGTGCCGTGTGACGTCACCAACCCACAGGAATTCCCGCAACTGCCAGGGGGATTCCCCATCCCAGGAAACAGTGCCACAGGAGTGACCAGTGGTGAACAAAACAAGGAAATGATTGAGGAAAAAATAGAATCATTTTAAAACAGGGGTACCACAAACAGATTTTATAGCATTTGTCAAGCAGATCCATATACAGCGAATGTGCTTCTTAAAAGTCAATATAGGAATCGCAGTGTCCTCCAAATGTTTAAAATAATACTTTGTTACTAGTCATCCAAAAGGAATATGTAAGGATGATGAGGAAAATAGTTTGTGATTTGTTAATAATGAGCTACATACCACACACACATACATATGTGCCTATGTGTGTGCATACATACATGCATGCGTGCGTGTGCGTGTGTTAGTGTGTATGTGTATGTGTGTATATGCTAATAATGAACCTCATAACACTACATGACACCGTAACAACTTTGATAAGCTTTCTATTAAAGAAGCAACAACTTCAGACCAATAATTTTGAGAACAATAAGAGCATATTGTGTGGTATCATTCTAAATGAATGCAAAAGGTATGTCAGGAGTAGAAATGAAAAAAAAAATCCCCAAGATTCCTATGATACGTTGAGTTTGATATTACATTGATTTGCATTGCGGCCAGACCCCCGATTTAGATCAAGAATTTAAAGGCTACCTTGGTAAACTCTCCTCCATCCTACTAGAAAGCGTGGAAGAAAATGTATGTATTATCGGGGAAATCAATGCTTCTCTAGGTCGCCACGGGTCGGTATAGTGATATGCTGACGAGTTTACAGGATCACCAGCGGCCGACGTCTTGCTCCCAAATGATATTTTCACTCATGTTAGTCCTTAGCACCATCTTGGCTTGACCACAACATCGTCTCGGAAAACCTGTTTCAATCACTGAGTGCAGTAGTGTGAATAGCTTTGCAACGTCGAGCCACTGTCCACTTGAAGTGCCATTTCATAAAGCTCACCATCCTTGCTTGATGTTAGATCACCTCAGAGCAAGACATTGTTAAATGAGACATAGGCAGTGAAGAGAAACGTGTCCGGTTGATAAATGCATAACAGTCCGCATCCGATATTCGATATGCCTGTGCAGCAGGGTGACGTGAACCGTGCTTTCTCGAAATGCACAGTTCCCGTCACCATGTGTGTGTGTGTCTGTATAGACAGATAGATAGATAGATGGATTTATGTATATAAATATGTATATACGTGAACAGATAGATAGATAGATGGATTTATGTATATAAATATGTATATACGTGAAAAGATAGATAGATAGATGGATTTATGTATATAAATATGTATATACGTGAACAGATAGATAGATTTATATATATATATATATTATATAATATATATATATACATATATTTATATGTAATATATATATAATATATATATGTATATATATATCATAGATATATTATATATATACATATATTTATATGTAATATATATATAATATATATATGTATATATATATCATAGATATATTATATATATATATATATATATATATATATATATATATATATATATATATATATATATGTATATATATATATATTATATATATAATATATATATGTATATATATATATATACATACATACATATGTACATATATATATACATACATATATATATATATATATACATACATATATACATATATATATATGTGTGTGTGTGTGTGTGAGTGTGTGTGTATGTGTATGAGAGAGAGAGGGTTATGATAGGGAGGGAGGGAGAAACAGGGAGAGAGAAAGAGAGAAGGGGGGGGTTGAGGAGGGGGTGATGAGAGAGAGAGAGAGAAGAAGAGGAAGAGAAAGAAAAAAGATACAGATACAGAGACACACACTAAGAACGGTACGACAACTGACTGTCCTTATCTGGGATGTTTCCTGAGCGTATACCCAGTTTTCCACTTCGGAGTGTCGGGTATAAGCGCATTGTAGATCCCTCCGTGGTATTCGAGGCTACGAAGTGGGTAAAATCTTGTATCTTTAGATTGGTATGTGATAAAGTTCAGTAAAATCTTGTGTTCTAGAAAAAGATAAAGTTTGGTACGCATGAAATAAGAAAGGAATTTGATTCTCCTGGATTGGTATGTGATAAAGTTCAGTAAAATCTTGTGTCTTTAGATTGGTATGTGATAAAGTTCAGTAAAAT